TCTTATTAAACATGTTTCCACGTGCCAACAGATTTACACTGGTATTTGCACAGGTCAGACTAATGAAAGAGTGATACCTGTTATTCTGGGGCTTTTAATCCGCAAACAAAAAGACCTCTTTGTGAAATGCCCTGTGTTAAGGTGTGAAATTAAGACAGCTGCCATCATTTGTAGCATGATGTAACCCTTGCTGCACTCCCTGGTATTGAGGAAGAACATACCCTTCCTATGAGGGGGATCTGCTTAAAATATTAATCATAACTAGATAATAATGAATAGCATTTGAATCCCAGAGGCTGTATAAGTTGTGAGTACTTTTGTAGTTTCTTCCCTTCAAGAAAAGCATGTAGTCACCGAGTGAGCTGACTCCAATGTAGACCTTTACAGTATAACACATTTTGAAAGTTGAGAGTTGGTGCAGAGGTTAATTCGGATGAGTTTCAAAATAGACCATTCTCTCTCTCTTGTAGCTTCAATGTGATTTCTACACTTGCAGAAACAAAGTTAAAATGAAGACCAAAAAGAAAGAATGCTTAAGAATTGTTTAATAGCGAATTGATGAGGCTCCTGCAAATGAATGATTTGGAACAGCAATGGAAATCCCAATAAAGACTGCATGCATATTAATCCAGTCCAGGGTTTCCCTTTGACCACCTGATTGGCATGAAAGTGTAAAGAGGTGTGACCAAATGTGTTCAGCCTGTGTATGCTAGGGCTGAGAGCTGGATGTTTATTCAAAGCGAGATGCTGTGAGCTGTGAGCTGTGAGCTATAATCAGTGTTTTGAGAGCGTGGAGTCTGAATCAAAAACTGGATCCCCTGCAGCGCAGAATGATCTAAATTGTTATTGGGGAAGCTTCATTGTTTGAGATGCAGTAGACAGAAGGTCCTCTTGGAGGAAATCCCATCTGTACTTCTCAGATGTTGCACATCTCCAGTGGTGTTGCTCCATTCATACCTCTGGAGTGCTAAATACCGATGTGCCTCTGCCCTGTTCGAACAGCTGAGTAACATTAGCCATACCTTACACCATGGCCATGCTGCCATTGTTGCTGTCAAGCTAAACCTGAGAGAATATCGAAGCTAATGTAACTCTTACAGATCAGAGAAACAGCCACAAAAATATAAGTTTTGCAACTGAAGTCAGGAGAGTGCAACGAAGATAAGTAGTCAGAGGCTTGTGTTTCACCCACACAAGGGAAAAAGGGAAAGAACCTTCTTTGACACCTGTTGATGGTACAGCAACATCCCTTTAATATTCAGGTAAGAAACTTTCTTATCACAGTGGATGGAATATGTTTCACATTGAGGCTGTAATGACTTATTTTCTGTTATTGATAAGTGTGACTGAAATGGCATTCACGCTGAGAGGCATTCCTCCTCATCTCGATTGTCAACGTAGCATTGCAGCAGGATAAGTTATATTCCAAAACATCTAAGTTGCATTGTAGTTTGTACGTTTGAGAACTGACACAGCAATTAAGGGCTAGAGTTTAATTTTAATGCAAAGGAATCTTTCCCATTTTTTGCAGGAAAGGAGCCTTCCTGAGTAACAAGTAACAATTGCATAATGCAGAACACTACACAGTGATAATCAAAAAGAGAGTGAACAAGGAAAGCTTGTATAATGTTAGCAAAGGAACATGAAGTGGTTGAATATGTGTACTGTATTTAATGGTTTTAGAATGCTGTCATTAAAGAGTTATTTCCTTGAAGTAATCTTAAGGAGAGTCTTTTCCCTTCCCTTGAACCTGAGGCTTAGATTCTTTTGAGAAACTTTTACTCCTACACTAACACGCACGAGCTACCACAATATCGATCCTCTGCCTCTGCAGATGTTGAATTGAAATCTGTTTTTGGAAGGTGCGCAAAAGGCACAAGGAAGCATTTTTCTCGCTCCACTGCTCCCCACACCTCTCAATTGGGGGTTAAACCTAGTTTAACACCTTTCCATTGTGATGTGTGAGACTGGGAACTCAACATGTAAAGGATTGTTGATACAAAACCACATTCCCCACAGGGTAGGAAGTCATCACACGGGTAGATTCTTTTTGCCTATGGATTATTAAAAACTTCATATTCTATCTGATTTACAAGAAGGGAATCCAATATAACCCACACATCAGTAACCGAAGAAGACTGTGTATAATGCTGCTTTTATATCCCGTCTGATTTTCGTCTCAGCTTAAGTCAATAGAAAGTAATATTGTGTAGAGTGTCAAACCACCATTCCAGTCAATCCAGTGTGCTTCCTGTTCAGTGAGCAAGGTTAAAATAACGTGCCTAGTCTTATTGGAGTCTCTTATAGAATTGTCATTTTAAGCTAAATTTTGTTTTATGATGTACTGATTCACTTCAGACAAGATGACAAAGTCAATTGAAGCAGCCCCCTCTTTAATTTTTCTTTTCCGTCTTCTCTTATCTGTTTCTGCATTTTATCGATTTTTTTCAGATGAGCTATTTGTATCTCAATAAGCATTATCTAAATTATGCATTAATTCTGAAAGAAAAGTTGACGTATCTATGACTTTTTCAATTCTATTCAAGCCCCAAAACTTTTTTCCAGGAGAGTTCCTATTTCCTTCCCTGTAACTAGCTCTGTTATTTTCAGTCAGCGTTCATAGATATGCTAATTTGTTTTCCACCTATAATTGAAGCAGGAGCTCTTGAATGTCATAGCTTCTCTGCATAATTGTGAAAACTTGCACTAAATTCCAAATAGTCCTTTATCATTAAATGGACACTTTTCAAAAAATTAACTAACTGGTTGATTTTGTGTGAAAACAGAATATTTCTAATAAAATAAATCAAACCACGTCCATTTAAATAACAGCGTTGTCCATCGGGCTGGAGTTCTTTAAGCCAAACGCAGAAGACAATGTGCGCATCATTGCTTTTTGACATGGAATTGAGGAACAATGTTTTAAGTACATGTCCTCTGTCCAGACATATAGACACACAAGAATGTCGCATCTACATGTTAAACAAAACAAGGAGAGAATTGATCCGATAATTAGTCCAGTTATCAATTGTAAACTGCTTTGATTTATCGCGTGACTTTTCTTCTTCTAACTCCTCACTTCCCTATGCAGAAATAAAATGTAAGAAGAAAATTGAAATAGCACACCTATTTTAACAAGTGCGAGCACCCTCAAGATTGCTTTGAAACAGGGTTAGCTAAGTATAATTCATTCAGAACCCTTTAAACAATGTACTTGAAAATCATGTCATTGAAGCCTCTCCTCTGATGACCAGATTTGGGGAGACCAACAATTTGGGGTATATTTCTATGTTTATTACCTGGAGAATAATTTGATGGAGTAGATTTTCTTCCATTGAAAATTGGGATGGTTTTCTAAAGGGCAGTGAATTTTCTGTCCAATTGATGAAATTAAAAGTCTATTCTTTGAACAGGTGCATTAAAAGTTAATTTGAACTGAAAGATTAAAACCATTTCTGCTGATGTTCACGGGGTTAGTGTGCATTATTATGTGGGGATTAAAACATAAAGCGTCTTTTCCGTTGCTGATTAGTCTGCAGTCATTTTTCCATAAGATTTATAGCTTGTATGTCAAGCAGAACATCACCATGGCTTATGCACACAACAAACAGCCCAACAGATTTGATGCACTTCATTCCTCACTCACACCGTGTTCACCGTTTCAATCTGAGTATCAGTAGCACTTCATAACTAACTATGTCTTTATATTCCAGTGTACACAATTCCCCTGGTTTAAATAAACTCTGAAAATTGGTGCAAGGACTGTTATTACTGTATGTCTCTGTCATGAATTTTTACCAATAAACGCAAAGTTAAAATGTAGGAAAATCTCCCTCAATTTGTTAATTTACCTTGTGAGTAAATGTATCAATTTAAAACATTTTCCTGTTTATCACATTAATTTTCATATGTAGTTTAAAATAAATAATATAACATTGCAGCAACAACACACAGTTATATTCCTACGTTATATAATAGCATAATTTACCTTTCAAGTTGTAATATTTGTGAGGTTCAATCTTTTCTTTCCATACTATTTAAGTTTGTCCTTCCACACTGAATAAATGCCAGCAGTACATGGCACGGCTACTAGGTGGAGCACTATATAGCAGCTGAGCAGACCATCTCTGCGAAGGGTAGTGGGTTGATTGGGGAAGGATGAGTTAGAGGTAAAGCTTAACAAAAACAGTCTCTCCATATGCCCTCCCCCTGCCCTCCCTGAAACACACCTCCCATTAGTTGATCAGATATCAGTATTAATGGTGACTGCAACTAAGATTGTATCCATCCTAGCTGAAGGTTGGAGAGTCGTGATTGGAGGCATAGCGGTAAGACACATAAATATGTTTATATTTAATCCAAGGTGGGAACGTAAGGATGAAAACAACTGATTCTAATCTGCACTGGGCAACGGCTTGCACTGTATTAAACTACAAAAGAAAACGTCTGATGCATATCTCCAGCCCTATTTCACCTTCATTCAAATTTCTATTAAGCCGTATTTATCTGAAAATCCCTTATACGTATTAGAAAAATATAAGCTTGTAGAGGATTTTTTTTGCAGTAAATAGCATGAATATGCATGATAATGTTATTTTCTGCTTCCGTCTCATGGATTCCAATGCCATCTAAACTTTGCCAATTTACAGCATGCCTCTCAATATCTTTCACACACTTCTATTAGCTGGTAAATCTTTATTCTGATGCCATAATGAAGAAAATCTGATTTGGAGTCATTCAACACTCTGAAACTGAGTGTAAGTACAGAATGTATTCCAGACCTTATGCTTAGTTTTTAAACTGATTGGGGGTTGGGTGGGGGTGTGGGAGATGGTGGTAGTTGGTGGAGGAGAGCGTTGAAAACAAATGAACAAATGGACAGATAAAACAAAGGTTTGATAATTTCTGATGGTCACTTTTGACTTATTTTTCCAGCTGGTTTCTCTTCCTGGTGGTTTAAAATGCAGTGTTCAGTCTATGATAATTTAGTTTTGTTTAACATAACTTAGTAAGGGTAGCAATGTTTCTTTTTGAGGTTTGTCACTTAATGCTTTAATAGTGAACACCAAAACTTTGACTTCTGTTCAAGGAGGACTGGATATTAGATACTTTTAGAACCAAGTCCAGTTGATTACAAAAGGTATAAGTAAAAGCTGACTGAAGCTCCTTCCTGCACAATTTTGAGGCATCATCCTCAAGTGTGGAAATATTGAAACTCACAAGTTCCAATCAAGCAAATCCTTGCATGTAATAAATTGTATTATGGTAGTTATATTTCACGCTTTTGTTTTACTTAGAAGTGGCAATTATATCGGGAAATGTTTTGTTGATGCTCAAAATGTTAGTTTTATTTCTTCTTAATTCTAGCCTCTTAGTCAAAACTTAACTACGAACAGAATGTTTCAAGCCCTATTTCCACTGCATTTCTTTGTTGGCAATTTTTAAAAGTTTGAAATTTGAAAAATACTTCAAATATTCTAATTGTCATTTCTATACTTCCACGTTCGCAGAACGAAGTGTAATTATTTCCATATTTGTTCTTGCAGCTTATACAGTGCCTACCAGAGAACACATTTATGTAGCATATATCTGAATGGATTTTGACAGAACATTTCCCATCAAGTTGCGATCTCCATGGAGTTATACCTGAAAACATGCTTTCTGTTATTGCACTTGTATATGTATGTGGACAGAGCCTTGCGTGTTCAGACTTCCTTCAGTGAGTTGCTCTAGGAACCCCTATCAAAGATCATAATTATCGTTTGGAATTGCCTTCATCTGCTTTAGCCTTCATCTAGAACAGAGACAGAGCTGCGCAGTTATTACTATGCAGTTTGGATTCTTTTTGGTGGTGATCATTTTAAACTCCATGGATTACACCGGCAGTCATGTCTTGAAGGGAAGAAGGCAAAGACGAAGTGAGTATCAGAGGTTTCTATCTGTAGAAGTCCCTATTTAAGTTCAAATGAACTGGTCTCAGCTTACAATGGTAAACAACAGGATTATTTCTTTATTATATTAGCGAAAACAACAAAAAAAGGTTATGGCAAATCTGCAGTTTCTATTTTAGTTCAAGACCCTTAAGAGATGAATGGATCTAAGAAACCTGATGGAACTGGATTCCAAACTACTGTTTTATCATCTTTTGCAGCTGGTTTCAATAGAATCCAGATTAATTAAATGGAGTGATAATCTCCTCACTGCCTGCTTTAAATAAAAGCTTACATCTTTTAAGGAGCAAAGACAGGTTGATAAATTTGTAGAGAAAAAGCATTGCATGGGAATCTCGGCTTTACAATAGCACTGTAGCATGTAAGAGCCAAGAGGGAATGTGAGACCTAAGTAAATGATTATTCGGCCACAGCTAGAATAGTGTGTCCCGTTTTTGGAACCATTCCTCAAAGAATGTCAAGGCTGCAGAGAAGGTACAGAAGGAATTTACTAAGATAATACCAATAAATTCATATGAGGAGAGAATAGGAAAACTGGAGATCCTTTTGTAAGAATGGAAAAAGTGTAAAAGGAGATCTGGTCATGTTTCAAAGTCCAACAAGGTTTCAATACGGTAAGTGGGGAAAAAGAGAGTTCTATGCATCACTGATTCAGTAACTAAAGGCCACACATTTAAAATAAATCACAGAAAGAATGAAAGGAGAGGTCACAGGATTTTTGTAAATAAAGTCTGAGTGCTCTTAAGATGTGAAATATATTCCAGAAACATTCGATTGAGCACAAATGGAACAGCAGGCAGATAGATACATAGTTTAAAAATTAAAGAAGAAGAATATGGGAATGGAAACACTGCAAGGAAATGAACAGTTATATCAAAACGCTGATACAGGTGTATTGGTAAATGACCTGCAGTTCTTCGATTCTTGCATCGATAGCTGCTTTATTAACTGCTGGATGGCAATGTTCTGCCCTCTTTGTTCTCTGAGAATACAATAAGGTCAGTGGTATTATACAAATATTGAACAAACTCATTTATGTTTTTCCTCACTACTTTAATGGATTTTTTTTGGACTTTCAATTTAAAAACATCAGAGACAGCGATCCGGTGAGAGGATTTTAAGTTCTCAGTTTGAAACATTGCTGTTGATCATTTCTACTTTTGTACATAAATAGATACCAACTATCTTTATTTAGATTCCAACTGGCATGAATTCAGACACAAAATTTTCCTCATTTTTCATCATTTAGAAATTACTGAAGAATAGTGAATATAGAAAAAGGCAATGCCATGCATTAATTTGGGAGCTTTATGTTTAGGTGAAGCAAAAGGCCAATTAACTGGGACCCATGTATATATGGATATAAAGGGAAGAAAAAGAAAGTATATCATAGAGTAGTAACAGAACAGAGGGAGGCCATTGGACCTGACATATCCTTGCCAGCTCTCTGCAAGTGTAAGCTAATTCTCTAGTCCTTTCCTTGCAGCCGTGCAAACATATTTATTTCAAGTTTTTCTTTAATTCTCTTTTAAAACAATGATAGAATCTGCTTTCTTGAAATTCTCAGCCAGTACATTCAAGAAACTAAGCACTTTCTTCATGAGAAATGCTTTTCCTCATGTCACCATTATTTCTTTTGCCAAGCACTTTAAACTCTTTTCTAGGTTCTTGACCCTTCCAACAATGGAAATAGTTTCTCTCAGTACATTTTAGATTCTGTCTAGGTTTCTTAACAGCTTTATTAAATCCCCTTTAAAACTTATCTTTCCTAAAGAGAACCACCCCAACGTCTCCAGTCTATGTCAGTAACTGAATTTACTGAGCTTTAGGGTGGCATGGTGGTTCAGTGGTCAGCAGCGCTGCCTCACAGCGCCAGGAACCCAGGTTCAATTCCAGCCTTGGATATTGCCTGTGTGGAGTTTGCACATTCTCCCTGTGTCTGTGCGGGTTTCCTCCGGGTACTCTGGTTTCCTCCCACTGTCTGAAAATGTGCCATTTACGTGAATTGGCTATACTAAATTGCCTGTAGCATGCAGGGATGTACAGGCTAGATGGATTAGCCATGGGAAATGCAGGATTACAAGGGTAGGGTAGAGGCCTGGGTCTGGGTGGGATACTGTTCAGACGGTCGGTATGGATTCAATAGTCTGAAAAGCCTACTTCCACACTGTAGGGATCTATGAATTCCCTCAAACAGTCTTGTAAATTATTCACGCACCCTATGCTATATCAAACCTTCCAGCACGTAATGTTTGTCCCTGTGTTGAAAAGTGTTTTGCCATTCAGCACTGATGAGAGAAAAGTTATTAAAATCAATTCATGTTATAATGATTTCCTTTGAAAATAAGAGAATTAAAGCTCAGTAATGTCTGAAGACATGTATCATTTTAAATAATGCCCAATGCAAAACTGTTGAGGAAGTAGCGCAGCAGATGTGTCAAATGTTGTCTGTTAGATGGGAATTTATGGATTAAAACAAAACAAAAAGCAAATTTACTGCCAGCCATTCTCTCATTCCTCAAGATCAAATTTGTTCGATGTTCAATTTTATATTTTCATGCCTTTGTTTCTCTTATTGGTTTATTTGAATATGATTTGAATATTAACCAACAAATGCCTAGTGAAGCATTATTAAACACAATGTTTAAGAAGGATTAGATAAAAATGAAAAGAAAAATATTAAAATGGTACAAAGGAAGTCTGGATAGTTGTAATTTGTGTTGTCTGTGTACGTTGCTTTTGAGAACGTTCGCCTTCAGGACTCCATGCGCTGTGGGTATACAATATTTTGACTCTGCCTGGCAGTCAGCCTGATTTGAGTGTGCTGGCTGCACTAACAGAAATCAGTTGTATTGCTTTAATGTCTGCTTCGTAAGTTATAATTTTTGTGTACTGTTTTAAGTAGAATATCACATCAAGTCAATGAAAAGAGATTGATAATTGAGCTATTATCATTAACCTGATATGATGACGAGTGGTGGTGCCACATACAAAATACCTTGCTGGATAAGTTTATCGTGTGTAAATTGTCAGTGAGCGAGGTCACCTACAGGTGAAACATATGGTTGAAACTCTTCAGTTATGTTAAAGTACATGATTCAACCCTCATTGCCTTTGTGCATTACTACATTGAAGAGTGTTGGAAACATAACTTTCTGGTAATCAGGCAAATTCCAATTGAGAGGTTAGCTTAACTCATCTGAGAAAAATAACTGATGAGTTTGTGCACCAGATCAATAGCAAGTATGGGAAAGTCAAAGGCATCTTGTCAAAATGTCCATAAAATTTCTTAGTTTCAAGTGGAATACAAGAGAATTGAAAAGGTTTATGCTGCATTCGGAACTATGGTTTATATACTTAGATAGATCCGTTGCACAAAGGAAATCCATCAATGTTTGCTTAACAATTAAGAATGAATGTCTACCCAGACGTAGCAGATCAGGATTAACAGGCAAAAAGTGATTAGATTCTCAAAAAGTATGAACCACATTAGAAAACCAATTCAGAATCAAATCAAACATCCATATTCATCAAATAGAATCCATGCCATTTCGACAAACACCTACAGAATCAATAATAACACTTTGCGAGCAGATGCGAAGGAAAGTGCTCATTATGTGATTTTTCAGATGGGAAGCTAGCAAACAGAAAAGGCAACTGGCAGAGGCAGTGCACTAGAGCAAAGACTAATGTAGCAACAAATGGCAGTGCATTGACCAAAACAGACTGCACACAAGGAGTAATTCAAGCTAAAATAAAGACCATGTGCTATCCTGCCATAGGTGCATTCACGAAATGATTGACAAACCAGAATCTGACAAAAGAGCGGTAAACACATGTTTCAAATTGTCAAGCTCATGGAAAACATCAATGTCATCACCTCATCTGAAGTGTTCACAGAAATTCAAATTATCTGCTAAGTGATTACTAATGAATATTCATTATTGGCTAAGGTTGTCACATGGACAAAGGCTAACATAGTATGCTACAGTATAGTCTAAATAGTCATGCACTCACTCACAGAGAAAACATTGATCAAACCTCCAAATGTAAAATTTTTATCATACAAAAGTTGATTAATTCTGTGTCAGGATCAATGCTGCTGTACATACAGGCATTTTACATTTCAAGCACTGCTGGACAAGCATTTGCAGATATATAAGAATTGCATGCCATCACTTTGCACTAGTCACAATTCAGGGAATCAGTCAAACATCAGAGACAGAACAGGAAATGTAGCAGATTATTCAAGAAACACTTGAAGAGCTGAATGCGAAAGGACAGAACACCTCACTTCCTTCTGAATTAGCAGAGCCACATCTCAGCTCTCTGCTATGGAGAGAAAAATTCTATGTCAAAAAGAAGAGGCTGAACAACTGACTCAGGATAAATCAAAACTGGAGATGACCGGATCTGAGATGAAGAAGCCTTTGGGGATATATCTGCTCAACTTATGGACAGTAAAGAGCTAAAAGGAAAGAAAGGTAGAAGTTGAATTGCAAGCTTTGTGTGATCAATCCAATGAAAAATATTGTTGACTTACACAAATAACTGGAGCAATTCACATGTAAAGTAGATTAGGCTCAAAGGGAGCAGCTTCTGAAACACTAGCTTGAGCTCAAAGCGCTGCTGGAGAAAAAAAAATAGACCTACAAAAAGAGCTGAAGATTCACTGCAAACCCAACAAGAAGATACAAATAACTTACGTGATATTCCTTTCAAAACTAAATTGCAGCAATGATGCAAACAGGAAATAGATAAAACCAAACAATCACTGAATCTGCAAGTGGAAGATGACCTGGCTTCAAATTAAAAAAAAATGGGCTGGGCAGTTATTAGAGTAGACTATGAAGGAGAAAATAAACTGTATGTATAGAAGGTTAAAACTTTGATAAAATTGGAAGAATCCAACATGTAAAACCAGAACCTTCAAAATGAGCTGCATGTTTTCCAGAAACAAATAAGTA